ATTATTTCTGAGAGTGACCCATGTTCCAAGAGGAAGGATGGCTCTGATCAATTAATCAAAGCTTGGGATATAGTGGGCTTGCCTGTCATCTACCATAGTTAAAGAACAGATCGGGCTAATGATGAGGCCTAGGGCTCACTGTATGTTTAGCAAATAAGGAAAAGTGATTATTCCTGCGTGATGCTCTATAACAAAACTAGCATCCTAGAAAGATGTGGATGCTTCAGGAGAGATGCTAATTTGTACTTCTAGATTACCACGAATCTTCTGGACAGGCAGAAATATCCCACTAATAGACATAATATAGACATAATTCAGAGCACACACACACCTGCTTTTTGCTTAGGGCTCTCCAACAAGACATATTGTAGAACAACACTACCATTTTCAGTATAATCAACCTCTCCTTCTATCTGCTATCTTTGACTGACTGTCAAATATCAGCAAATCCCTATAGTGACTATACTGCTGGATCACTGTAAGGGAAATGAGGGTTATTTTTGTTTTGTCTTTGGTTAATTTGTTTTTTTCTTTCAGTGAAGGCACTATAAGATCTAGTTGATTGCAGTCTGAATGGAAGCCTCGTCAAGTATAAATTCTTGGTGTTCAGAAACAAGATTAAGGAATCAGAACTGGATAGGAACAGATGGTAAAAAATGTGAGACCTGTTCATAATGTTGAATGTCATGTCCAGGCAATAGTATATATATATGAACTACTGAGGTTCTAGGCTTTCCATCATCTTCTTATGCCTCTGTAGGCATTGCACACAAGGGATGCATACACATACATAGAAGAGATGTTGTGGCCATGGTGTCTTTTCACAGCAATAAGAAACCTTAACTGAGACAGCACACCGCCATCTCTCATCCCGCTACCCATTGCTGCCCTCACCCAATCTCCATCCTTCCTCACTTCCTCCTCTTCCATCACCTCTCCTCCCCTTCTCCTGTCTACTTGCAGGAATAAAAGAGAGAGGGAAACGGAGAATCTGTTGCATCTTTATCTCATTTACATTCCTACAGATTTTAGCATTCATGCTTACCAGTGTCAAAGATTTAATCACCCAAAGTCTAGTCCCCTATAATTCTTCTCCACATGCATGCATACCGGTGAGTCTGCAGATGGATTAAATGTCACTCTGACCATTAAGCTGCCTTTACAGGGAAAGAAGCTGTCAATATTATCAGAAGAATCGGGTAAGAATACACCCGTAGAGAGTGATGCCTGTAAGCATCTGAGGGGAATTTTCTTCAAAGAATTATCACTTTCTTTCAACGTTTGGCTTTTATGATTCACAAACTGGATGAGGACGCCAGCAGCATTTTGACCGGTAGCAGAGCTACTGGTTAACTCCCAGCCTCTCCAAGGCTAGTGTTTCTTTCACCGAAAAGATGGTTGCAAGATGCTGAGAAGAGTACAGAAGCCCAAGCCTGAGTAGCTGAGTGAGCCACCACTTTGCTGGCAATCATTAACCCATCACTGCCTATGATTAACAGACTTCAATGGTCATATCCAAATTGTCAGCTAGCCTACCCAAGCCACAGTCACCCTGCCCAAACCAGCCTGCATGAGCATGCGCTGATGGAACTTCCTCCCTGAACCATTGTAGGGCCTGCCGCTAGACCCAGAGACTGCTGATGCAGACAGGAGAAGCCAATGAGGGAAAGACAATGCAGCAGAGTCAACAGCCTAAGCCAATGAGACCTTGGGAGGTAGAGTGTATAAGAGGCCTGCCTGTACCCTCAATAAATGAGTCAACTTTTGCTTTCACCTGACTTCCGGAGTCTATGTCTTTGACTCTGTGGCTTCTCGCCCCCTCCAAAAGGTGTCTATGCAAGTTCACTACCAGCACCCTATTTCCCCAAAGATGTGACCATCCTTTATTGGCCCAAACTCTCAAAGAGTCTCCAGTCACCTTTGCAGCTGTTCAGAACAGGCACACCATCACATCTGTGTTTCTCAAACATGACCTAGAGGAGCCACCTCTACCGCATCTGTCATTCAAGGGATATACGTCATTCCACAGCCACATTTGGTCAAACTACACGAATAAGTAAACCTTATTTTCCCAGCACATCAGAGCATCTGACCACCAGCACTCAACTCAGCTCTTCACAGGTTAAAAGATATTGCACAGGTTTAGATCCATCTGCTCAGACGACTTCTCAGAAACACAGTTTGAAACGATTTCATGGGCTAAATAATTTGGTATCAGAGTGCCAAAATCAATAAGATCTGACAGATATCTGGAGTGAAAATTAGAATTGTGAACCTAGAGGAAGGATCAGCAGATCAGAAGAAAGGCAGGGGCTGACTTTGCTGGCATCATTATCCCAGCTCAGTAGCTAATCAATATCCAACTTTCCTTGGATATGGGTCACATGATAGTAACCAACATAGTGCTGATTCAACAGTTCTCTCTGTCTCATGTTTGACAACACATCCATGATCCATCTGTGCAGTTTTGTTAGCGACTTCATGTTTTAAATGATTTGTAAATTTTCAGTTTCTGCACTCTTCACCAGGCACTTGGAAATTAATTAAAGCCTTTTAATTGCTTCCTCTTCTTTTCAGTTTCATCACTTAATACCTGAGTTTTTGGACTCACATTTTATTTTTGTGGAAAAATTTAAAATTCTGAAAGAATCTCCACCTTACTCTGTTTTGTACAGGGAAAACCATAATTAATGTTTTCATGAGTGGAATCAGATATGAACATCCTTATAAATGACAATATCAGAGCTCCGTAAGCAAAGGATACAGGTTTAGAACAGTGATCTTTGATAGCATATGGCAGCCCTTACTAGGCAGAAGCAAGGTAAAAAATAATTACTTAAACAGGCAGATAAGTCCCTCATAGCAGAAAACTGAAATAGTGAGATGGATCCTGATTTAAGGAGTCTATCGGCATGGCCATGGAGCACTGTGTTCTTGAGGAATGATCATCAGCGAGCGCTCATAGGAGCACTGCTTACTATGAACCACAAAGAGATCAAGAATGGACACACAAGGCTCACCAATTCTCTAAGGATGAGTCCTTCCTCCCCAATTCTCCAACCTGAATCAGTTCCTGGGCTAAGCTTGCATCACAAAGAAAAGTCAGATCTGCTTGAGGAATGAAAACTCTGACTATTCATCAACTGTATATATAAGTGATACCCAGGCTGGTAAGATGCCTGAACTACAAAAATCACTAGCCATTTTCTACCAAGCCTAATAAGCATAGTTCAACCTCAGGTCACACATGGTGGAAGAAAAGACATAATTCACAAACATGTACATTTGTGTACACACACACACACATAAACACACACGATAAAAATGATAAAAAGAAATGATTCTCCTCAGTACTTCACCACAGGTCATGCATCCAAGTACTTTGGTGGAGGGGTAACCCATGTACCTTGTAAGCTGTTGGGCACAGTTTGCAGTTTGATTCTAAGATGGTAATGATGCCACACTTTTGGGTGACATTATAAACAGGACCAAGCCACAGATTTTGCCTTGGATTTGTCTTATTTCCAAGGTTTTTTCAGCTTTCCAGTTTGTACATGGACTCATTTCTTTATTATTTCTCTAGTCCATGAATATACAATTGGGACAAATATGCTTAGCATCTGTAAAACTGTACTTCTAAAGGATTATTTTTATGAGAAAGGCCTAGAAGTCAATGATAAACAGCATGTTAATAAGAAAAAAATATAGAGTGTGAGGACTAACCTCACAGAGATTTTTACCCTCTGAGCTACCTGATCATGGTTTCCATTGTATTTAAATGTATTATTTGCTTAACAAGTCTGTACCCCACACACAAACACACTTAGGTGCATGCACATATACACAGATAGTTCATGGAAGATGGGAGTAATCCCTGGAAACTCTACCACATGGCAATCCTGAAGCAGATGATGTAGCAGCTTTAGAACTTTAACTAAAACATCACTTACAGTATTTATGTTATGCCATTGATCTATAAGTAACATCCTCTTCCGTCTTTTACATATCCATTAGAAAAAGTCATAAACAGTTCATGTTGGTATATGATAGAATATATACACATTTGGGTGTTGCTTTTCCTTCCACTGGGAGTAATTTCAACATTCTGCCCTAACAGTCCAAAATGACCTGAATTATCTGTGTACTGGAAAGAACATAAGATGCATTCTAATATTGCTGACAGAGTAGAACTTCACTGGGTAAGCAGAAAGTGGCAAGTACTCTGGACACACTGGTCATTTCATGCTCCACAGGACAGCTGATAACCTGCCAAACCAATATAGTTCCAGCAAGTCCTTGACCTGGGGCCTGTTGAGACAAGCTCTCCACTGTAAACAGCAAGTATTTGCAACTGTGTGTTGTCCTCCACAAAGAAACAGGCATAGAACTGGGTAAGCATTTACAAAGCTTTAAAGAAAATTTGTTGCTCTAACTCATTAGGTGATTTAAATCACTTTTCATAGGATCTGGAGCAAGAAAAGAGCTCATGTGCTTAGGACACATGCCAGCAGGCCATCGTAACAACGTTGTAGTAGAGGACTGCTCGTTCATTCCTGGCCACCCAGACCTGAATAATCACACAGAATCTATATTAATTACAACACTGCTTGTCCTATTAGCTCAGGATTCTTATGAACTAACTCTTACATCTTAAATTAACCTATTTCTATTAATCTGTGTATTGGCATGAGGCTGTGGCTTACTGATTAGGGTCTGTCTCCATTGGCAGCTACATGGAATCTCCCTGACTCCACCTGCTATCTCTCTTTGTCTCTGTTCAAATTTCCTGCCTGGCTTCACTTTGCTAAGCCATTGGCCAAAACAGTTTTATTCATCACCCAATAAAGCATCACATATACAGACAGACATCCCACATTACAAAGAGAGAAATCTGCAGCAAACCCCATTGAGACACCCACAGAGAAGTGCACAATAATTATAAGCAAGTGTATGCATCTGTAATTGAGTTATCCACTTCTTGAACATAATGTAACTTTACCCTAGACCCACTGGTGATGACTCAGATGACATTGGTCAGGGAAAACTCCACAGTGAGCAGAGCTTTGAAGAATTCATCTGGACATCACATGACATCAACACAGAGAAACATTAACCCAAGGTAAGATTATGTAAACTTTTTAAAGATTGGAGCAAACTTTTTGGTTGTTTGATCACAGGTCTGGGGGAGGCACAATTTCAATATTGGGGACAAAAAAGCTTGGAAAAGAGGCATTTATAAACAAATTGTTAGGAAATAATACTGTTGTTCATTCCACTGTCAAATAATGATCTAGTTTTGCTCAGAAACCTGTGTAAATAAAACCTCCATATTTTGTTTGCTTTTTATTTTTTCACCAGTTTGTAGGATGAACTAAAGCAAATATTTTACTGTATCAAGGATTAATTTAAAAGTATGTGTCTATTATTAGTCATACTAGGTAAAAAAATTCATCTCACAAAAATATTAGACATTGATCTCTGGTGTATAGAGAGTAATAGTAATGTTAAAGCAAATGGCTGGAGAAACGTCTCAAAGATTAAAAGCACTGTCTGCTTTTCCAGAAGACCCAGGTCCAGTTCATAGCACATGTGACAGCTTACAGCCATCCCCAACTCCAGTTCCAGGGCATCTAAAACCTTCTTCTAGCCTCTGCAGATATTAGACACAGAGTGATGCACAGAAATACATTCAGGAAAAATACTCATAGACATGAAAACACAAAGAACATATTAACTTCTTCAGTCAGTTACAAACAATTTGTAGAAAGAGAAAAGGACAATGGGAAGTTAGTTTTATATGTGTGTGTATGTATGTGTGTGTGTAAAACTGTATATATGTGTATATATGTATGGAACTTTAATCAAGAACTTTGCTGTTGTTTATACATAAGCATTTTGATCTAGCAGAGGCAATAAGAGTTTTCTGACTATAGTACAAGCTCAAGGAAGTAAGACACAAAAATTTGTATTATAACAAATATAAAACATCCCAATACATGACAAGGAAAGTAATTATCAGAAATAAAGGAATAGATTCCAGCTAAAAAGAGGTTGATATATTAATGATGTGATACGATGTATGACTAAGTACCAAAATTCTACATTTATAGTCAGTTAAAGAAAAAAATTCACTCCTTGATATCCTTACTATATAATGAAAATTCTTAGCTCTTTTATCCCACATGCCTTCTTAAGTTCCACTAATTTCTTTATTGAGAACTTTGGAGGGTACATCCCCTAAAACTGGCTCTAACCGAACGCATCAGAATCACCTGTGAAGCTTTTGTGCAAAGAGCAACACGTCACGCCATCTATATCTGTAGCATTCCAGACTGGTAAATTTCCTTTTTGTATAACTTTAAATCTTTTGTAAGCAATGCTATTATATACTTCTATTAGAGAACCACTAATTGCTTGAATAAATGTAAACAATCATGCATCAAATTTTACATTAAGGCTCTATATTTTTATACCACACAAGTCATTATAACTAATGTCTTATTTGAAATTATTCCATTAGGATCCTCTTGATTGTGTTATCCAGATGTGTTTAAGCTGCTTTATTCTGTCTTATTATTAATAAGTGTAAATGTCTAGTTGCTTGGATAACCAAAATTTAAATGTTTTCCCTTTAATTGTGTAGCTTGTAATTCTCACAATCAATATGTCAGGAAATATTGAATGTTTTACCCTGAAATGTTCTACTCAGAACTTTTCTAGTCATCACTCATGTTGATAGTTTTATTGGCTTCCCAATTGATATTTTACCTTCCAATATTGACATACCACTACATTTCCAATTTAAAGCTAAATTATTCATTTATAATGTAAATAGGTAACTTGTGATCTCTGTCAAATATTATCCAAGTGCTTACTGTTTCACCTACTATGGTAAAAACATTGATTTTTAAAATTTTTAATTGATTTTATTGAGCTATACATTTATCTCTGTTCCCCTCCATTTCTCTCCCCTCCCTTCTTCAACCCTTTCCCAAGGTCCCCTTGCTCCCAATTTACTCAGGAGAGCTTGTCTTTTCTACTTCCCATGTAGATTAGATCCATGTATCTATATTTCTTTGGGTCCTCTTTGTTGTCTAGGTTCTTGGGAATTGTGAATCATAGGCTAATTTTTCTTTGCTTTATGTCTAAAAGTCATTTATGAGTGATTACATATGATGGTTGTATTTCTGGCTCTGGGTTACCTCACTCAATATGATGTTTTCTAGATCCATCCAATTGCCTGAAAATTTTAAGATGTTATTATTTTTTCTGCTGTTTAGTACTCAATTGTGTATATGTATCACATTTTCCTTATCCATTCTTTGGTCAAGGACCCATCATACCACAGAAACATTTGTTCATGGCAGCATTGTTTGTCATAGCCAAAACCTGGAAAAACATTGATTTTTATAGTGACCTAGAATCCCATGTGATGCTGACCCTGTGACTAGTTTGAAACTCTTTCCTGCCACTTTTTGTCTGCTCAGTCATTCACGCAGTCTTGACTTCTCAGCAGGCATTCAGGATTTTTTTTTTTATTTTTAGAAAAGATAATCCCCTAACCTTTCTGCAAATCCTTTTCAACCAATAGCACTGATATTCTTGCTACAAATATAATTCACCACTTTCTACAATATATTATCCGTTTCTATGAGAATTTGTAAGCATAAGTTTCTTAATTAGCATTTTATTGCTGTGAGAGACATCATGACTGTGGCAACTCTTATAAAAGAAACTCAAAGCAGAGAGCAAAGACAAAGTAATCACTGCCCTGGCAGCTCTGAAAGGTCTGAGGATCTTCCTCCTGATTCTTCTTGCTAAAACTCAACAGTTAATTTGTAGAACTGGATGGAAGGTACATTGTGTCCTTTCCATTATATTCTCATCTGAAAGACAGGTAAATTTTATAAAAAGAAAGAAGACAGGGAGGGAGGGAGGGAGGGAGGGAGGGAGGGGAGGGAGGGAGGGAAAGGCAAGTAAACCTGCAAAAGTTTGACTTCCCTAGAGAAAAATCATTTCTAAAACAGCATATATAAAGCACAAACTGCCTTGGAGTGTGAGAAGATTCCAAGACAAGAGAGAAGGCAAATGTCCAATAGTCTCACTTGAAATTCTTAAAGGGTAAGTTTAATCAAGCAGGAGACAAGAATATTTCAAAATCATGCTGTTATATTTCTTTACTCACATGGTAACAACTGAGTGCCGTCCTCATACAGAGATGAGGAAGAAGTAACAGGTAGCTGCTAACAAACATTTCAACAGAGGATACACACAATCTTGCAATTATGATTTATTTAAAATATTTATTTTATTTTATGAGTATGAGTGTGTATTTATATGCATGTTTGTTCATCCTGTACATGTCTAGTCTCACTGGAAGCCAGAAGACTGCATTGGACACTCTGGAACTGGACTTACAGTAGGTTTTGATGTATATGCTAGGAACTGAAACCTGATCCTTGGTAAGAGCAGTAAGTTGTCTTAATTACTGGACCTTCTTTCCAGCCCTATAAGGAGCAATTGCTATTTGTCAATTTTTTTTGTTAGTAAGAAGAAAGACAACTAATAAGGTGAGAGTGAAAAAAATAAGAGGGTAGTTTATCAGAAGTTACCTTAGTACGTTCAGTAAAGGCTGCCAAGTGTATCACCTTAAGAAATCACTAAACAATTTCCTAGTTCCTCAAGAAGTAACTCATTTCCATTCTAGGCCTCTGAATTATTTTGAGCTACATTGTGCACTTAGCGAGAACATAACACAGCAGGAACATAATTAACCTTGCTCTCAGCTGAAGAATTCACAGTCAAGGTAAGATGGGGATGCTCCTGGGACTTTGCTCTCTTGGTGGGTTATGCACATCTTCTCTGAACGAATGAATCACTCCTGCGGCATCAGCAGAAGTCTGTATATCCAGAGAGCCCTTCTAACCTGGCTTGTGGGCTAAACCCCTCAGCCTCTGCACACAGGATCCTCTGGGGCACATGGTTAGTAGTCAGAGGATCTCAGGGTCATTCAGAATTCCAGAAGGAAAGACGGCGATTCAAAAACCTTTAACAAATTAGCATTCAGCTATAAAATGAATAAATTTGTGAAATACAACACTGACCCCACTTCCATTTTTTGCCAGCATATCAAAGTAGATCTCAGTAGAAAGCAAAATGTTAAAGAGAAAACAATCAAGCAAAATAAACAGCCTTTATGTGTGCTCTACAGCCTGCAAAACGCTTCATTTTGTTATTATTTTTGTCTTCTGTTTGTCTATTTAGGGTTTTTTTGTTGCTGTTTATCAGTTTGACATGAGGCAATATCATACTAAATTTTTCAACCTGGTTTGGGCTTAAAATCCTCCTGTCTCAGTCTCCTTTGTGTTATGATTAAAGAAATATATCCAGAAATACCATATATCTGAGGCAAGCTTGAGCTTTTCCTATGAGGCTCGCCTACATGTCCCAGAAGCTACATGAGGAATAGAGAAGAAGAAGAAATTAAACTTGACTTCCAAGCACCTACTGAAAAATCTTAAGACCTTGGTTGCCTTGAGCTTCCCACTATCTAACACCTTTCTGAAGGTCACCCCTTTCTGAAGCAGTTTACCTCACCTGTAATTAATGGTGAAGAGGAATTAAAGAGGCTCAAGGCAACCCCTCAGAAATGCAGAACATCTCTCCGAGCTGACTTGTAAGTCAAGTGCCTTCTAGGCCAGATCCCGTTATGTAGGCCATATGACCGCAAGGTGGTGTGGTGCTGTGACTAGGAAGGCCCATCGATTAGCTAAATGAATAGCTGGGTCATTGGAAGCATGCAACAGGGAAATAATATCATCCTTTGTGGGTTCCAGTGAACTAGCAGGACACAAGGAAAGAACTAAGGAAATAAAGATTCCTTGTAAATGTGGGAGGAAATTATTTGGAGCAGAGGAGAAAAGAACTGTGAGACATACATAATACAGGAAAAGAAAGTTCCTAGACCTGAGTATGGCCAGAATTGAATAGCTCCTCTCTTCAGTAGTTAAATTCATTCAGCAAGACAAGCCCTGTTTCACCAGGCAGAATACTAACTATATTTTTAATTATTAAATCAGGAAGCAGTAATTTCTGCATGAACTGGATTACTCTTAATAGTGTTTGTGGACATATATACACAAATAAATAAAATGCACAATTACTCTTTAAATTAGCTATTTCTAAATTTGACAAAGGAGTTTCCAAGGATCCACAAAGAAAAATGAAAATATATCATTCCTAAAGCCAGAAAGAGAATGAGATGGTGTTATTCAATAGGTTAAGAAACTTTTATTTCTTGTTCCAGATATTCAGGGGACAAAAGCTAAAAATTCAGTTGTTAACTGTGTAGGTACTTGTTAAAGGAACAGATCAAAGAGGGATGATTGTAGATTTCAAGTTTGTCAGCTGAAATGAATCAGGCTTGCATCCAGAGAGGTTTTGGAAAAATCTATGAATAAGGTTTTGCAGGTGTTGAATATATGAATCTGTGAGTAATCTAATTTCAGATTTGATAGATGGATCTGAAGCTTGCAAAAGAAGTTAGCAGTTGGGGATAGAAATCCATGAGATGATACCATGCAGGTGCTCCTGTATGCCCTCAGTGGACTGAAAATAGCTGAATAGCATAAGAATAGACCAACTTCAGAGAACAAGTCCTGAAAACACTAGTGTTTGCCAGGCAGGTACAAGGAGTAATCCCAGCACAGAAAATACAAGCAAACCATAAACTAGACAGAAGGAAAACTACACATGTGTGTGTTGTTGAGCTCCTAAGCACTAAAGATTTGAGACAAACAGGATGTACTCTGCTCGGAAGAATCAGTAAATAAGGCTGTTCCTTCTGACACAAGGCAGGTGGGGTTAGAAATATACTCAGAATGGCTAAGTCACTGTCCTACTTATTTTGTTCTGTTTTTGATCCTACATATCTTAATTCTGTATCTTCAGCCAAGTGAAAGGAATATAACTATTCATCTGTGATTGCTATACCAAAGAATTATACTTAACATAATCAAAAGAAAGCAGGAAAAGAGTTCCCGAACTATAAATTATTTAATACAAAAGCCCTTTTTTCTTTTTTCTTGTCCATTCCATACTTACATGTATACTTACAGACACACACACGAACTTTAATAGAGAACACAACCTCATTAATATGAAAAGACTTGATATAAACACTCTGCCTCAGTTATAAGTGATGAAAGCTCTGGAGTCACGATGTTACTGAAAATAAGCATGGGAGACTTCATGAGCATTTACGTTTATTCAGCCAGTACCTTGTGAACGGGGGATGCCCTTTAGTTTCCATCTCAGCTGACATTTAAGGTCTACAAGATTCTAAATATTTTTTGCTGAACTAGTAAACATGAATTGTAGGAGACAAATTGAACTAAACATAGAAAAATCTCATTCCCTAAGACAAAAACAAAGACAGGTCCAATAGAGAGCAAGAGTTTAGAGTTTGACAAATATCCTTTTTATAACAGATGCCTCAATTTCTCTGTCTTGAATATATTTTTCTTTACCTATACTCATATAATGTGCACAGTGATTGTGTTCAATGAAGAAGGTGCTGAAACTGCTTTGTTTGTCTGTCTTTTCTGTTTGTCTGTTTTAAGAAAGCTCTGTAGGATTTTAGAAAGAAAGGAAATTTGGAGCTAGAGAGATGGCTCACTGTGTCAAGACACTGCTGATTATACAGAGGGCAGGAGTACAGTTCCCAGAATGCACATCAGGCAGGTAACAACTATCTATAACTCCAGCTCCAAGGGATCTCATGCCCTCTTCTGTATTCTTGGGCACTCATGCCTGGCATACATAGACAAAAACACACAAATATACCATACACACATACACATAGACAAACACACTGTGGCCTCTGAACTAATATAGAAGAGGTATCACTGACTTAAAATATATAATATTAATGAAGACATGTACAAGTCAGACGTGCTTCCCAAAATTCCATGGAAACTGGTACTGGCAAAATTCTAATTTTTTTAAAGAAATAAATTAACTATAGCGATCATAATTTTCTATTTAAATTTTTTAGTATCTAACAAGCATAATCTGTTTAAATATCTGATTTGGAAGAAAATTTATGGAGAAAAATTAATAATTTAAGTCTAGCCAGTCAATAAACTACATGAATCCCTTTTTATGATGTACAGATAAATACCACCTTGGGGAAAGTTTCTATTAAAGTTCACTTTGCCTTCTGGGTGCTCTTGTCCATCCCTGAAATGCCAGCACTTGTGTGGCAGAATTAGAAGGACCAGGAAGTCCAAAGTCATCTGCAATTATTTCCTCTGCAGTTATATATAAGTGCCAGGTCAGGATAAGCTGCATGAGATATTCTTACAGAAAAGTAATAATTAATTAATTACATTAAAGAAAATTAACTCCAGAGATTGTCAACATAAAACCCTATAATTTATATCCACTGCATCCACATATAAATTTATTCTATTAAAAAGCTTAGCGACTACAAAATCAATAAGATCTCAATAAATGATGTCACCAGAGGATGCATATCTTTTCTTGACTATGAATATCTTTGTTTCTCACAGGATATTAAATTCTGCACAATCATCAGTCAGCCATCATGTACTGATAACCTAGGTTATTGGGTTTTTTTTTTTTTGCGTAAGTCAGTCATATGAGATATTTACACTTTATTCAAGGACAAAGTATCATTAAAACATTAGCTGTCCTGCCCATTCTCAAATCTTAGTCTGAGGGACATGAAGAAACAGAAGTTCCACTTGGTTATCAATTGTGAAATGTTCACACCCGGACTCACAACTATACACTAGTCAGCTAGCAACTGAATAAAAGGATATACCACATTTTTGAAAATATGTGACATAGAACTATGTGATTAAAAATAAAAATGTTATATTATATTCTTCTATGTAATTTTACTTATACAAAATATAAGATAGGACAAGAGGAGAAATAGGGAAACGTATCCAACCTAAGTCCCTATTATATATATGTTCCTGGAGCCATTTTCTTACCTCTTCCCAATTTTCCAACCCTTCATAATGTAATTCCACTCCTATTAATATATGAGTTTTATCTGTATAGAAAGAGATATCTTTAATCAAGAAAAAAAACAATTTATGTCAACTTTCATTCTTCCAATTTTCTATAAAGTGTCTAACAGTCTATTCTTCTCAAATGTGTCCATCAATCTCTGACAAATCCAAGCTTTCATTTAGCTCATCACTGTTTTCTGTCCAATCAAAACCTATCATGGTAATTATGTTTAAGTTCTTAATTCTTTCTCTACAGTTAGAAATGAGTTAATTATATAGTGTTTATAATGCTCAATAATAATCTTCTCACATATTTTCACGATTCCCCTTTCAGGTCCTGTCATTCACATATTTGACTTGATCTTTTACACAGTTGCAGAATAATATTCTTTAAGTATATGCAGAAATTTACAATGCAATTCTCAAGATCATCAAGATAAAAACACCTTAAATGATGTCTATATTGAACATATACAAGCATTTTTCCTTGTCATAATTCTCTAAATAATGCAGTACAAAAGCTAAATAACTATTACATCCTAGATATTTCAACTAATATACTGATAGTTTAAAGAATGTGGGAGAGAGCTGGGTGATGATGGCACACGCCTTTAATTCCAGCATTTGGGAGGCAGAGGCAGACGGATCTCTGTGAGATTGATGCCAGCATGGTCGGCAGAGCAAGTTCCAGGACAGGCTCTAAAGCTACACAGAGAAACCCTGTCTCAAACAAACAAACAAACAAAAAGGATGTGAGAGAATT